GGGGTTCATATAAGCCCATTAAACATGCCACTAAACTTAGACTATACTGTGTTTAAGAGAAAGGGAGGGGAAGTATTAATTTTTTACAAGATAAAATTATAATATTTATAAATAATATAATTTAATTAATCAAAAAATTCATCAATTTCCTCTCTTAGATATGTTTCTCTCAAATCAAATATGTTAGTAACTACCTTCCTATAAAAACCTAGTCCTGTTAAAGAAAACTAAGCATTTAGGACTAATCCTAAATTTTGTCAAGTATTCATTTTAGTCCTTCGTCAGTTACACTTCCCTTCTATTATGGTAAGAACGAATCTCCCTTAGTTTTCAATTTCCATATTTTTTTCTATTAACTTACTAAATATTCAGGTCTTCATTGACCTCTTTTTTTTTTTCTTTTTTTTTTTGCCAACTTTATTGACCTCAATATGGTACATATTATTAGAAATTAATCATCACTGGCCAAATCAAAGTTTTCTTAAATTATAATGTCTACTTGAGTAACGAAGACTGAAGATTATTTATCCATTAACAGTGTCTTGATTATAAAGAAAATAATATTGACACATTTGTTTAATTTTTTGTGATCAAATGCTGCATAAACATTAAACCTTATCGAGCTATGATTTTTTTTTACGTAATTTTTCTTTCAAATTAAATAGATATTTTGATATTTTAAATTTTAAAAATAAAAATAAAATTTTGAAGTCTAGAAATGGTATATATTTCAATTTCCATTTTATGTTTGCTTAAAATTTAAAACAGTCAACGAGATGGGAAGAAACATGTTGACTAACTCTACCAAAGGATGAAGGGTGCATGTGCTAAGGTCACATGGAGTAGATGACAGACATTTCCATTGACCAGTCAAGACAGTTGGCATCCTCTCATTAGCTATAAGAGTAGTGTACCCCACAAAATACAACATGAATCAATGTGCCTTAAGTGGGTAATAAAAGCCATGCTCTTGGCAATGCAAAGTGCCTTGAAGCATATATAGTCCTTTTTCTTCTTTGTCTGTTTGGTTGATAAGAATCTTGATTTTCTAGGAAAGTAATGGAATTTTCCATGGGAAAGCTAGCAAGCAGCTTGGTCCCCAGCATCGCTAGAGGACTTCCAATTCTGCTAGTGGATCATGACACAACATCTCTCATGTGTCTAGCATCCATGCTAGAACAATACTCATACAAGGGTGAGATATGGTCCTCTCTTAGGTTTGTTTGATTCATTTTTTTCTTGCTTTCATTCCCTTTTCTTCTAAGAGAAGAAAGTGGGTTCTAAACCTTTTTATGTATAGATGAATGATACTTGATAAATAATTAAAATTTTTAATTTTTTATTGAGATATTTAAAGTTTTAATTATATTTATCTTTCTTAACATATAAATATAAATAACAGATAAAGATAAATAAATCAAAATCATCTGTTTGTGACTATGTATCAACAAAATTTTAAATCCAAATTCTTCATTCTTAGATTTTTTTTTTTTTTTTTTTTTTTGGTTTTATATATGATTTCTTGATAGATGAATCCAAGTTAGGAAAAAAAAGTTTTGGTTTGCAGTTACAACAACTGAACGAGCAACCGTTGCATTGTCCATGATTCGAAAACAAAACGACCGCTTCAAACTTGTCATGGCCGATATCAACATTCCAGACATGAACAGCCTTCAATTTCTGCGTCTACTTAATACAAATAACATGCCAGTCATATGTAAGTAATTGCTTCTTCTTCTTTTTTTAGTAACATAAGTGATTTTAAGTTTATAGTTATAATAACCTGGACTAATAAGTTTTCCTTTTGTGTTCTCCTTCATTTGATATAATTTCTAAATCTTGTGTATGTATGTTGCAGTAATATCTTCGGAAAGAAGCATGAGTGTTGCATATAAAGCCTTAGTGGATGGAGCATGCCTTCTTATGCAAAAACCAATTTGCTTTGATGATCTCAAGTACGTGTGGCAACTTGCGTACCAGAAGGAGAAATGTGACTGGAGAAATGAAACTATGAAGCAAGTATGTCCGAAAAGAGTAAGTACTGGAAAGGAATGTAAAGGCATCAACATCAAGGTAGCTGCAAGTACTGATAACATTAAAAAGAAGTCTAGACCCGATCAAGTTACCAACTATCAACTATCAGTTAAGAACCGTTTTCAAGGGGACGATGAGTTGGCTGAAGTGAGTAGTATTATTATGGTGGACAATCATGTTCCCATGGTGAATAACAACGCTAAGATTAATACGGTAGAGGTGTTAGTGGTGGAAGGACGAAGAAATGAAGAATTGAATATGAATGAACATGATAAAGAAGGAAGACAAGAAAAGAGAATGAAATCAAACTCTGAATTACATGCTGAAACTAATAAAAATAAGGAGATGGCCGGAGAGGGGGCAGAGGAGGAGGAGAACAACCAAAATCTAAATAGTGCTGGTGGTGGTACAGCTACTGGAAAGAAGCCGCGGTTTGTTTGGACTGAGGAACTCCATCTTAAGTTTACAGCAGCCATTGATGCAATTGGGGATAAGTGTAATATACAAACTAATTAGTTTTCCTTTCATTTCTTCCTAATGATTCTTACTAATTAAAGGGTAGTGTACTGATATCCTTATTTGTTTTGTTGTCAGATGTTGGTCCAAAAGCAATATTGAAGATGATGAATGAGCCTAATTTGACTCAAAGACAGGTTGCCAGCCATCTGCAGGTTTGATTCGATTCAAGGTTACATTTTTTTTTCTTATCATGAGTCGATGCTTAGTTGAAATCTAAAGATTAACTGCAGGATACTTTGCATTTATAATGTACAAGCTAACACGATAGCCAGATTAATCTGGTTCACTATTCAAGGATGTAGGATTAAATTTCTAGACTTAGTAGTTGTAGTTTTCATCATTTTCTCTGGTATTAGATTGGAACGAGATAACACAATATTCTTCTTTCCGTTGTTTACAGAAATACAAAGCTCGAATGCAGAGGATTTGCCCCAACGGGACAAATAATTCACCACAAGAAGTTAGCAATTTTTCTGCCTTAGCTGGATCATTCCATTTGCTGGACAATAGCATGTCTGTCCCGTCTCAGCTGGGACACAACAGCCGTAACTTCTCAACTGGAGGTAATGCAATTGATCTCTGTATATATTGTTCTGGATTGTGTATCAATACTACTGTCCATACCAGCTTTAGAACAATCAACCACAATTCAATATCTTTGCATTTTTCCTAACTAAAACCATAAGTGCAACCTGTACAAAAGGGAATGAATGTGACTGAGTTGTTCCTTTTTCTGCAGGAAATAATGTGTATCCTAATCTGCCTCAGGAAGTGCTTCCAGATTCAATTGCTGCTACCGGTTTGTTTTATCAGAATCAACAGTTTCCAGATCTGCATGAAGATATGAAAGTAAATCAAGGTTTTACCTATGCCATCAGCTCACAGCATCAGGACCAAGGGTTCCTGAATCTGCATCACAATGTGCTTCAGCAGATAAATCTCAGTCCAGATTCAGCTGTTCCATCAGTTCATCAAAATCATTTTTTCATGACATCTGCTGAGAAAACACTATTGCAGGATTTTTCTCCAAGCAATGTGCCCAACATGGGGTATTCTCTATCGGATATCCTGACTGGGATTCCAGAGGTGGATGCTACACCAATTATGGCTCCACCAACCTTTCCGGAAGATCAGAACCAATCCTTGTCACAGTTTGCTGAGTTGCTGAAAGTGCTTGAGGAAGAGGGAGAGCCTGAGCTACATCCAGGTGATGTCGATCAGTATTATGAATCTCTTAGGGATGCTTTGCTCGGAGACAACGAACCACCATGCTATGGTTGGTAAGTGCAGTGCAATTCCAGAGAATGCCTCAGTTAATCCCTAATGATCATTTCAACAAAATGGAAAACTATATCCAGAAAAGTATTCAAATAAATCAAATTCTAATAAGGAATAACTTTATTCACTAATTTTGATGAAGTAACTTACCTTCTTATGACTTAATTTGATGCATTTTACCCCACAGACAGAGTGCAGTTGCTGATGCAGACTTTGGTCCCCGAAGTGGAAGGCTCCTCTTCAAAAATTCTTCCTGCTGTTCAGGAGTATACAGTATACTGATAGAAAAATGTTCGAAAATGCAGCCTGTAGTGTTTGAGTTAATAAAGATGAAAATTTACAGTTGTGCAATTTGCTTGAGAACTGTTTGACTTATCAATTATACAATGTTCAGAAGGCTCTTCATGAATCATGGGTGATTGTTCATGAAATTGAGTTGATGGTGCAAGGACTCCCTTTCTTAATCATAACCATCAGGCATGGTTTATACAGTTTTCCTGTTTTCTGGACTGCATATATATATATATATATATAGATCATGCAGAAGTTGCATGGATCAAATTACTTGAGGTCTGTTGGCACAGTATACATTCAGCATGGGGATTTTTCGGGTAGAAGTTTCATATTTGACATTTACAAGATGCTTTAGACCAAGGCATGGAGACATTGATGGAGTTGCCTAAAGGGTAACACCAGATGTAAAAGATTCAATATGAAAAGAGGAGAGACAAGATATGGTCGCGTAAGGCAACATGTTTTCTTCAAGAGCTTTCTACAGAAAGTCTTTAAAACAGTAGCGTTTATTTAATTGCAATTTAAGACAACAAATGGAAAGAGGAAAATGAATACATCGTGCTGGACATAACTAAATTTTTAACTGAAGAAATTTTATATAAATCAAAGTGCTAAAGATTATTCGTAAAAAATCCTCCCTTCTCAAATAATTAAGGTATACATCTTAAGAGATTAGTTTTCAGGGATCTACATTGGTTCTAGGACCTCTAAACCAGTAGCGGGCACTAAATATCCAAGAAGAAACAGTAAGAATGAGCAAGCCACATACAGCAACAGGAGTGTAGTTGAGTGTCTCAGAGGTAATGGGGTAGGCCACAGGCAATGAGAAGAGAACTGAGATGGTTATAACCCAGAGGACTGCAATCCAACCAACCAGTATTCCATAGCGACCCAGGTTGAAAGGTCCTGGAACGAAGGATTTCCTTGCCAAAGTCACCCTAAAGAAGATTGGTAGGGCATAAGCAATGTATAGCCCGATAGTTGCAATGGACACCATGGCCTGAAATGCCACTAGACTTCCAAGAGACTGCAAGAGATTAGCAACGAAGGAGCATGCAATGAGTACTCGAAGAATTAGTAGAAACAAAGGTTACTAAACATAGAAATAGGCTTCCATGTGTTTATTTGACCAACATTGGCACTTTAACTCTTGTCAATTTTTCCTGGAAACAGAAATTCATCTTCTATATTTTCCATTGAGATAATAAAACCAAGAAAAAACTAGGCTGAAAACTCAGAAGAGGATAAGGAAAGAAAGGACTTAGGTCCCCTTTGATTTCATGGGATTGCACATGTAACCATGAGGTTTAAAAGCTATACTAACACTCTTCAGATATGCTAGAAGGTGCATCATGGGGGAAGGGGGTCTTTAATTTATGCGTTTAATATTTGCATAACATATTAGCTGGTCATTATAACTGGAAAACTGCAAATATGCAGCCACAGGCAGAGAGCGAGATTTGCATACCGTTAATGCCATGCAAAATGATACAAATGCAGAGAGCCAAACAGCATTTATGGGAACCTCCTGCTTGTTTACTTGGTGCCACAAATTTGATAACGGCATGGCTCCATCTCTAGAGAATGCATATGCCATCCTAAAAACATATATTTTGGCAATTTTAGTCACTACATGAGGTGACTATCCCAAATGCTTGTCTCATAAGAAGTGAATAAGAAATGGGGTGTACCTTGAGTTGCTAGTGACAGAACTCATACCACAGAAAAATATGGCAACAGCAACGACTCCTAAGCAAATGATTCCCCCAACCCCACTGCCATATCTGCTCTTGAACGCAAGGTAAAATATTTCGGCAATTGCATAACCACCGGCATCATTGTCTTCACTCAAGAGATATGGGATCTTGGTAACTGCAAAGGTGATACCAAGTAGGTAACCCCATCCAAAAATAATAGATATCCCAATGGAACTAATTATTCCTTTTGGACCATTCTTATCAGCATCTTTGGTTTCCTCTGTCTAGAAATATGTTAAAATAAAATGGAAGATTTAGTTCAAGAAAGGTAAAAAAGAAGGGAAATCGAGCTCAGAGAACTAATTAAAAATCTAAAAAGAAAAATATTGATTAAGTTCTAGAAAATGGTATTTAGCAATTCTTGTTACCATGGGAAGCATAGAGGAAATAGTAGATTGTCATGGTACAAATATGATTTAACAATTAGCAGCTAAGTTTGTGACCTTGAACATTTTTTAAGGGTAGAAGTCAAGAAAAGGATCATTTTTAGCTTTGATACTTTTGAAGAGCTTTACAAGGCAGGTTTTGCTTCAGAGTTAGAAAGAAAGATAAAACTCACCATATGAGCAGATGCATCATACCCCGTAAGAGTATATTGACTCATTAGAAGTCCAAGAACAAAAATGTAGACTTTACTGCTTATTCCTTCGCCATTATCAGTGTTGAAGTAAGTGAACACAAACTTGGCACTAGCCCTCTCCGTTGCAATGCAAGGAATGAGAACCATTAGAACACAAACACCTGTATTCCAAAACAGTTGGGAAACAAAAGAATGAGTTGCCACAAGGAAGAAAAGCTTGAAAATTCACTTCTGGAAGTTGGTCATACCTAAAAGATTCCATGCAGCAGCGACCTGGCCAAAGAAGGATAACACTGAGATGGGAAGGCTGTTAATGATGGCATGTAGCAGCAAAATTCCCCCATGTAGACCAATAACTACATATTTTGATGCATCATACCCACCACCATTTTTTCCACCAGTGCTAAGGAGAATGATCACCTGAATCAACTGTGCAAGAGAGAAATCGACACTTGCTGTAACAGCCCACTGCAAATCAAAAATTACTTCAAGTCATCAGAGCTTACTAAGAATGGTAACCCAATACCAGTTGACTTTTCATTTTATACATGACATGTAAATTCAAAAATATCCAAATTTTGAAACTCACCTGACCAACTATATTGAACCTGCAAAAAGATTCAAAGAGTATGCATCAGAGCACAAAATTGCAACCAACAGCTTGATATGAACATTTTTTTGGATCCCAAGAATTACAATGAAATGGCATTAAAAATGCTAATTAGTATTTTACAAAGTTTTGTTCTCTAAGGTAGAGGGGAGCTGCCCAAAATTGGTGTGCTACAATCCAGCTTCCAATGCTAAATCTCATGATAAACTGAAGAAACTAGCTCAATATGGGACAAAGTAAAACCATCGAATAGTTACTTCTATATGGTTTGGATATGTTTCAGATACTTTTCAAGATGTTGAAGCAATAAAAACGGATCCAAGTTTTGTGATGAACCGATATGAATATAGCATCACACTCCTGAAGCGTGATCCACTCACTCAAATTCTAGTTATCTGATAAAACGGGATGAAGTCTGATCGCAAGAGTAACATGTCAGTGGGCTAAAAGCATCCAAACTATGAAGACAAGCTCATTGGAAAAGAAGCTTAGCTAAGATTGTCAATAGAAAACTATGATTTCGCTAAGAAGTCAATGGAAAACTAGATCACCTGACCAAGAAAAGATGTAAATTGAGTCAAGATACTTAGATACAAAGATCTACTTAGGCAAAAAAACTGATTACCATCCAGTGAGCCATGCAGCAAAAGGTGCCCAATTTGGGCCAGCAAGTTTAGCACTCCAATAGTAGAGACCACCCGATGTTGGATAAGCAGAACAAATCTCAGCCATTGAAAACCCAATACACATGGTGAAAGCGCCCACCACAAACCAACCATAAACCAGAGAAACAGGTCCCCCGAACCTCAACCCCGTGTTGTAAAGGGTGGTGACACCCGTGAGCACAGATATGATGGAGAATGAAAAAGCAAAATTTGCAAACAACCTGCAAATTTAGACCAAAGCAAAAAACACACCTCAACAAGCCCCTAAAATAAGCCGACCCCATTTAGAATCAGAAGCCAAAGAAACAAAGAGAAGAGAAAGGGGTTGTTGAGAAAATTTACGAGAGATCACGCTTAAGCTCTTGCTTGTAACCAAGCTCTCTAAGACGGGATTGTCCTGAATCCATTAAAGTGGAGCCATTTTCGGTTGTGTGGGTTGGGATATCCATTTTCTGACTTCCCAAAACCATCTTTCACACCACCGAGGAGGAGAGGAGAATGGTGTGGTGTGATCTTTTCCAACCCAAAAAAAATCTAATTTAAAGGAATTATTTCCCTTCTTTCCTGGAATTACACTTTTGTTTTTATATTATATTTGAGGAAGGAACCTGATTCTTACAACCAATCGTATCAACTCAATGTCAGAATTTTCCCCTTTTTTTTTTTGGTTTTTTACATTTTTTTCTTTGCCAGTTCGGCATTTGCCGTGAGGTCAAATGGAGCAGCCGGTCAAAGACTGGAGATGATGTCAAACTCAAACATGTATGCGATTTTTCAACCTTTATTTGAGAAGATTCTGTGGGTATGTGATCCGATCTCTCTTACAAGGAGAATCTCAAGAAAAAAATTACATAAGAGAGGGGTTGCAATAAACAATTAACAAACAACTTGACATTAGGTGTTCCAAATTTTAAGGGTGCATATAGTAAAGAAAACAAATAAAAAGCCTATTGCCATTGGGAAATTTAGGAGA